TCCAGCCCCCCGGCGCCGTGGTTTCCCAGACCCTCAGCGCCGCGATGTCTTCGCAGCGGCGAGCCCCAGAGTTGTGGGCGTTTTCGTTTTCGGCGTTTCGACATTGGGCGGAAGGGGGGCGGGTCAGGCTCCAGACCTCTCTGCTTGGTGCGAACGTTTGCAGCGGGGCGTCCATCAGGGGGGAGATTTCGCCTGCTCGGAACAGGCGCTGGCGCCAAAAACAACCAAGATCTGCTCCATATGGGGGGGGGCGAGGGCCCGCGCCGATCGGCAAAACAATGAAGCAAAGAACGAGCATGTTCTCGACCCATTCCCCGAGGCCGTTTCTCAGTCCAGAGTCGATTTTCGACGGCCCCGCGGCCAGCCAAGGGCCTGTAAAAACCTCCCACAGATGGGATGACCGTGGGGGTTGCGAAGTGGATAAGGGGTTCACAAGTGGATGCCAAGGTGGGTTATGTCTGGCCCAACCTGGCTTATCAGTGGGCTACAAATTTCCCCGAATGGCTCCGGGAGGTCAGATAAGTCCGTCAAATGGGCGGGCGAAACCCACTTAGATCGGATCGCTAATCCCACCGAGTTTTTCGGGGCATTTGTGGCCCACTTGTAAACCAGGGTGGGCCAGATAAAACCCACATTGGCATCCGCTAATAACCCCGATCAAATCCACCTTGGCATCCACTCCCAGACCCCCGACGTCATTATTTTTTCATAACGTCGACCCCCAAAAGGTCTCGACCTCTTACCCGGGACCGGTTTCTCATCCCGAGTCGTTTCTTTTAGGTCCCCAGGCCCGGTAAGGGCCCCCAAAGGCCGAAAACTGAGAAAAACCTCGCGTCGTCAATTTTTTCATGGCCCGAGGGGGTCTAGGCTTGCATTCCCCGATCCACTTAGCAACCCCCTCGGTGATCCTGGCCGAGGGCGAGAATAGCCAAAAACCTACCCCCAAAAGGGGGAGGCGGTGTGTCGCCCTCGCCGGGCGCCCTGCGGTGAGCGGGGCCGCCCCGGCCAACCCAGGAAGGTATTAAGCCACTCCAGGCCCGCCCGGGCCAGTGGGGAGGAGGAGGAGGAGGAGGAGGAGGAGGAGGAGGAGGAGGAGAAGGAGGAGGAGGAGGAGGAGGAGGGGGAGGAGGCGGAGGCGGAGGCGGAGGAGGAGGAGGAGGAGGAGGAGGAGGAGGAGAAGGAGGAGGCGGAGGTGGAGGCGGAGGAGGAGGAGTATTCGGGAATATTCGGCGACGACGGATTCGAGGATCGCGCGACGAGCGAGCGATGGCGCCACATGGGCCCCGAGGGCTCCCGCGGCCTAGTGTGGCGGTTCTTTGCCCTGCTTCAGACACGGAATTACATATTTCCAATTCTTAGTGGGTTCTTGACGTTTATTGAAAAGGCCCTTTATACTACCCCCGTCAGTAGCTTTAGTACGACGGCCACATCTAGTGCACCACCAGAGGCTAAACTTCTCAGTGTAATGCATAGTGTGAGAGAAGTGAACAGTTCTAGAACCTACGTGGATGGCTGTGCCCCTCTTCCGTTTGGAGGAGGCCTTGCTACAGTCTTTAAGCCAGTATTTGATTACAGCTACTCCAGCGTTCCTACTGATTTGTTCATTACAATTGCTACACTGCCATCTACATCGCGAGCGAACGACGAGGTGGGGGCTAGACTCGAGGGCGGCGCTCAACTCAGTTCTGGCCTGTTTACGCTGCTTTCTTGTTTTCTCCTTTTCTGGGATCGTGGCCAGGCTGTCGCACTCGCAAGCGTCGAGGTGTGCTCGGAGCGTGCGTCGCCAGACCAGGCACTGAATAGCATGCGCCCAGCTGTAGCACTGCATCTGTGCCTCTGGGGTGTCGTGCTCGGAGGCGGCGTCGGACGCTAGCTCGTCGGCCAGCAAATTGCCCAACCATGCCTCGGCACTGACCTGCTTCTTTACCGCCTCCTCTGCGTCCATGTGGCTCGTGATGTGCAGTAGCTCGATGTCCTTAGCTGGGTTCAACTCAGCAGGAGCTCGTTCACACAGTGCGACATATAATAGGTCCCAAATGTCGGCGTTCTTTCTGCGCTGACCATTTCGAAGGTGGAGCTCATTTTGCCAGGCTTGGGTTGTAACGTCTGAATCAGTATAAATTGTGAGCGGTCCCTTAATCGATCTGATCGCTTGCAGCACTGCCCACAACTCCGCTCGATTGATTGTCTGGCGCCGCCCATGTAGAGGTCCACATTGGGCTGCTCGAATCTTCCATCCGTCATGGTTGTGGAGGCATACCCATGACCGTCCGCATCTTCGATATCTGCGGTCGCTCGATTGGCTTCCTCCACTTCCATCCGTTGAAATAACTGTGGGGCCTGTCATCGTGTGGATCGTCTCGACGTTCTCAATCTCGCCGATGCTGGTCGGATTGTTCTCGGTAGTGCACTATGGGGGAATCGCCCACTCGTTCGGGCATAGACCACGGAACCAAAAGCAGGGCAACACCTTCGCTCCTTCAGCATATCGGTCCTTAAGTGTGTTTGATATGGTGAAATCCTTATGGTCCTGCCGATGTGTGCAATTCCCCATGTGCGATGGTAATCGTCTGCAACTTCTCCACACGAGCATTTATCATCAGCCTCCTCTCCGAAACATGCGAGTCGCCTTGCTGGTGTCCACATGGCTGCGCTTGCTGCCGCTTGCAAGACTCCAGCTTCTCGATGTTTGTCTCGGCGTCGTAGCTGATGAATGCGCTTCCGCAGATCTGTAGTCTCAATTCCCTTTTCCATGCCTTGTCCAGGCCAATGCTGAGAGGCCTTTGCCCAGAATGTAGCTTGCTGGCTCTGGAGAACTGCGTGGATAACGTCTGTATGATCTTTTGTGTGAGAATGTTCACCATCTCCCATTTGCCATTCATTGCCTTCATGATCCCACCAAAGAGCGGGCGATAAGGGGTCCCAATTGACTTGCCATAGAGACAGTATGAGACTGCCGATCATTCCACGCCCTTGTCTCCATCGGTCCTGAGGTGTCTTATCTGCAAGATTATGATATATGGTACTCCAAGCACGGCAAGCGCCATCGTGAAGATCGTGTCTGTGGCACCACGTGTCGAACCATGTGTTGAGCTGTCCCTTCAAGATGCTGACTGCTGGGTCTGCTTGCTCAAGGCCCAGGTAGGTTTGAAGACATCTGTCAGACCAGTGCTTGCCTATAGCCTTTGCTGCTGATCTGCGAAGTTGCGTGGTGGCCGACGGCGATTCACCATAGATCTTGGCGCCGTGCAAGAACGAGGCGGTCGGGCCCTGCACAGCAAGGATTCGGCGACGACGTCGATGTAGCCTGCGAAGCTTGGTCTTGATCCTCCTCATCCTCATGGTGACTGTATTCACTCGCTTGGTGTGCGTAGGTCGTGTTCTCGCAACAGTGCCAACACGATCGATTCCAAGGTCTCTTCCAGATGAAGCCGGTTTGACCACGACTCCCTGGCGTCTGATCTCGGATGCGACGTCGCGCGCCATCTGTTCGTTGGTAGTGATGATAACCGATTTGTCTGCCATCTCCAAGCCCTGCTCGGCCAAGCACTTGCTGTGCTCGACCGTGGCGCTGACGATGGTCGTCATGACTGCGGCCGTGCTGCCTGTAGAGTAGAGCTCCACGTCGTCGAACCAGGCGCGCGGCAGCACGGACGGCACTTGGTAGTGCATGCGGTGGGGAAGTTGGTACATGGTCGCCCTGGCCAGGTTATTTGCATGCCTGGATCCAGCGACAAGTGACCTGTCCACGTAGATAGGTCCACCGTAGCATCCAGCCTGTCGACGAAACCTGACAAACGCGTGAAGCTGGAATTCCAAAGCCAAAACCCGTGGAGGGAACCCAAGGTGCCGAGCTGCATATATCACTAGTAGCGGGTCAAGTGTGTCGTAGAAGCGGCGAATATCCGCGAGTGTCTTGGCACTCACGATGTTCATGGCGTGGGAGATCTCGTCACTTAGGATTCGTGCGGCTGCCTCTCGGAGGAAGCTGCTTCCTGCAAGTGCGGCGTCCCAGTGCCTACCTGCGACTCTTACCCACTGTGCAACTGTTGGTCGTGTCAGCTTCTCCCATGCTCTGCATACTTGAGGTAGAAGTCCTAGTGCACGGTCACCTTCAGACGTGGGTTGTAGCATAATGATAGTACTTTGGAGTTGCCAAGGCCAAGAGACGTAGGCTTCACATTGATTGAATAGATCAACAAGTGCTTGACGGCCAGCGCTAGGTAGTCGTCGAAAGTCCGAGCTGACCAATGTATCTGTGCCTTTGCCACGGTCAGGAGAGTTGCGCAGCGAAAAGTCCAGGTCCTCAAGGGTCCACGTCCTCATAGGCGCCTCCATCGCGTGCTCTCGAACTTGGCTGATCATCGAGGAGGAGGAGGAGGAGGAGGAGGAGGAGGAGGAGGAGGAGGAGGAGGAGGGAGAGCAAGAGGACCCCGAGATCCGACGCGGCGAGAACGAGTGCAGCATCGCGGCGACTGGCGCCAGCCGTGAGGGAGAGCCCCTGGAGCCCGAGCTCGGGCGAAAAAGCGCCCGGTGGGGGAAGCAAAACGCGCAGCGACCAGACCTGCGGGGAGCAGGACGGCTTGAGCAGCAGAGTCAGGAGGGGTCTGGGGCAAGGCAGTGCCTGCGCTCCCCCCAGCTCATGATGTTCTGACGTACTTTAGTCTTGACCGCCCGAGAGAATTTCGAACACCAAGCAAGTACCCAAATTGCCGGGTTTTCGCGCGTCGGGCCCTGGGAGGCGATACGCGTTCGCCTGTTCGCCAGCGCGTCGGGCAGATACGGGTTTGACAATTTTGGGGTGTTTGAAATTATTTCTGGGATGTGGTGCTTAAGGACGAGGAGGAGGAGGAGGAGGGGGAGGAGGAGGAAAAGGAGGAGGAGGAGGAGGAAAAGGACGAGGAGGAGGAAAAGGAGGAGGAGGAGGAGGAAGAGGAGGAAAAGGAGGAGGAGGACGAGGAGGAGGAGGAGGAGGGGAGCAACGTAACCCCCAGCGGGGCCTGCGGCCCGCCGGCTGGCGCCGCGCATCCCTGCCCGGCTGCTCGCTGCGCGGCGGCGCCGCCTTCGCGGCCTTCGGCGCGCCTGCGCGCGGCCACCCGCGCGCGCGCGGCCCCGCCCGCGCGCGTACGGCGCGCGGCTGCGCTGGCCGGCCGCCGGGAGCTGCGGTGGCGGTGGCCGTCTGCCTCTTCCCGAAAAGCAGGAACCCCTGACATCAGAATGAGGGGGCCGAACGGTCATTCATTGTCTCTGGGTGCGTGGCTGAAGTGCGGATCCGTGGTGGGGATTCAGCTTAAATTGTTGTTGCTGTTGTTGTTGCTGCTGTTGTTGTTGAAACCCCATTTAGAAGAATAATTATTGTTAATCCCCCCTCACCGGTGCATGCTGTTTTTCCTAAATCAAAATGTGCCCCTGGACGCTCGCACGCTGCTTTTTGACAGGGCAAATCTTGGTGCTCAAACTGTGCCCCTGGCCCCCCCCGGATTACAACAACAACGGCTCCCGCCTTAGATTTCCTCCAAATTTGCTCTGGACCCCCGCTCCCGCCTGAGATTTCCTCAGGATCGGTGCTACCGCCTTTGACTTCCTCGCAATTTAGTCTGGACCCCCGCTCCCATCTGAGACGACCTCACAATTCACTCAGGAACGGCGCTCCCGCTTGAGACTTCCTTGCAATTGAACCAAGACTTCCTCGCAATTTAATCAAAACCTCCGCTCCCGCAAGAGAGACCTTCACAGTTTATTAAAGAATTTCGCTCTCGCCTGTGGCTTCCATGCAATTTATTCAGAAATCGCGCGTTCGACGCTCAGGGAACACGCTGCGCCAAGGACGCCGTCACAATTTACTTGAGAGTCGCGCTCTCGCCATACTCAGGCATCCCGCTTGAATGTCCCACCCGCCCGACCCGCCCGTCAGGGGATCGCCTGCCCGTCGCGTGTTCCCGCCCGAGACTTCCTTCAGGAACGGCGATTTCGCCTAGGACTTCCTCGAACGTTCACGCTCTTACCTTCCTGCTCCTCCTCCCTCTCCCTCCGCCCTCCTCTCCTCCCTTCTCTCTCCCTCCTCTTCCCTCATCCTGATGCCTTTCTGCCCTATCCCCTCTCTCTCCTCTCCCTCCTCCCTTCTCCCTCCCCTCTCCTGCCTCCTCCGTCTTTCTTTCTCCCCCCTCTCTCTCATTGTTTCTCTCGTTCTCTACCTGTCTTGTCTGCCCTTCTCTCCCTCTCTCTCTCTGACTCAAATCAACCGCCCCCCTCATCGCTCCTTCTCTGCTGGCGTTTTCCCTCTTCCTTCGTCCCCTCCCCCCCTTCCTTATATTTTCCCCTGTTCTCCCCCTCCTCTTTTTGCAGGGCCCACACCAATTCCAATGGCGGGCACATGTACGCCCACGAAAGATTGTCCGCCCGTTCAGGTTTGCCCGCGTGTCTCAGCCCACCGCCCCCCGCAAAGAGAAATAATCCCCCCAAGGGCGGGTATCGAGGGTGTGGGAACCTCGTTTTGAATGACACACGGGCAAGCAAGAGCGAACAACCTTAGATAGATTGTTGTTGTTGTCGTCGTCGTCGTCGTCGTCGTCGTCGTCGTCGTCGTCGTCGTCGTCGTCGTCGTCGTCCCCCCCCCCACGACCCGGCCCGCGACCCACCCGCGACCCACCTCGCGACCCACCCGCGATCCACCTCACGACCCACCTCGCGACCCACCCGCGATCCACCCCGCGATCCACTCCGCGACCCGCCCGCGACCCACCCGCGACCCACCCGCGACCCACCCGCGACTCGGCCCGCGACCCACCCGCGACCAGGCCCGCGACCCACCCGCGACCCACCTGCGACCCAACCCGCGACCCCCTACATTGTTTTAACCAACAGTAAATCGGCGCCTGCCGCGGGCTCGTTGTATAGCTTGGGAAATGTTGCGCCTGCGGCGGGCTTCTTCAAAGCCGCGCAGACTGCCGACGTCCCCGCCGCCCCCTCACTCTTATCCGCAACAATTGGTTGCTACTTTTTTTGGTCCCACCAGACCGTTGGCAATGATAGGTTATCATGGCAAGATTGACTATCTGCGCAGTTCAGCGTCGTGCACGGAATGGGGCAATGAAAGCAAAAACCTGCAATAGCCCCGGACTCGGGCCGATGGGGGAAGTGCTAAAGGCCCAGTAATGCGACCAGCGTGATGACCCCCCCCTTCGCGACAAGGGGTGCGTCGCGCATTCGTCGCCCGTGCGTCGGCCGCCGAAAAGGCCAGCCGTCCTGGCGAACGTGCACGTCGCCCTCGCAAGGGGGCATTTTGTTCTCCCCTTCCTCCTCCGGGAGGGAGAAGGAGGAGGAGGCGGAGGAGGAGGAGGAGGAGAAGGAGGAGGAGGAGGAGGAGGTGGGAGGGGCCAAGGAGGAGGAGGGGGAGGAGGTGGAAGGAGCTAAGGAGGAAGAGGGGGAGGACGAGGAGGAGGAGGAGGAGGAGGAGGAGGACAAGCTAGGTGCGCTCGCGTCATATCTGACGTCCTACCCCTCCCTCCCATCCCTTACCATGGCGCTGATTTTCTCTATCCGCGGACGCGTGTCGTAGCGGACCTGTGGCTCCGCGCGCGCGTGCGTAGTGGGTGGTGGTGCACGTGCGTGCGTGCGTGCGTGTGTGCGTGGTTGTGGTGGTGGTGGTGGTGGTGGTGGTGGTGGTGGTGGTGGTGGTGGTGGTGGTGGTGGTGGTGGTGGTGGTGGTGGTGGTGGTGGTGGTGGGTGGTGGTGGTGGTGGTGGTGGTGGTGGTGGTGATGGTGGTGGTGGTGCTGGTGGTGGTGGTGTTGGTACTGGTGCTGGTGCTGGTGGTAGTTGTGGTGGTGGTGGTGGTGGTGGTGGTGGTGGTGGTGGTGGTGTTGATACTGCAGTTGCTGGTGATGATTGTGATGGTGATGGTGGTGATGATGTTGGTGGTGGTGGTGGTGATGGTGGTGATGGTGGTGGTGGTGGCGGTGCGGCGCGGTGGTGGCGGGCGGATGGGCGCGCGAGAAAGAGGCCCGCGCTGGGGGGAGAACGCCATCCTGAACGACGGAGGCCAAGCACCGATCCGAAAATGAGGCCCACGCTGCAGCGGGAGCACGATTCGGCACGATTCGGGAACAGAAATGATGCCGGCGCCTCAACGAGAGCAGCATTTTGGGAAAAAATGACGCCGGCGCCTCAGCGAGAGTCGTTTCCCGGGATTTCCCGGGCAGCCTGTGTGTTAAAAAACAGTACGCGGAGGGTGCGCGGCCATCACCCGGACGCCATCAGGGGAAGGATTGGGGAGCAGAAATGAGGCCGGCGCCTCAACGAGAGCAGCATTTTGGGAAAAAGTGACGCTGGCGCGAGAGCAGCATTTTGAGAAAAAATGGCGCCGGCGCCTCAGCGAGAGTCGTTTCCCGGGATTTCCCGGGCATCCTGTGTGTAAAAAACAGGACGCGGAGGGTGCGCGGCCATCTCCCGGACGCCATCAGGGGAAGAGGGATAATATATTCATATTGAGTAATTGTGGAGGAGGAGGAGGAGGAGGAGGAGGAGGAGGAGGAGGAGGAGGGGGAGGAGGAGGAGGAGGGGGAGAAGGAGGAGGAGGAGGAGGAGGAGGAGGAGGGGGAGAAGGAGGAGGAGGAGGAAGAGGAGAACACGCGCCAGCTAGCACCAGTCTGCGGGCCAGGCTTGCACCAGTCTGGCTCCAACCCCAGACATGCTCGCGTCGCGCAGAGATCGCGACGCAAAGTCTTCGGCCGGGCTCTCGGCGGGCCTCCCTGCAGGACCGCCAGAGAAGGACTCACAGGACGAAAGACCGGCCCCAAGGCATGGGTCGAGACCATTGGTGGTCGACGTCTGGGCTCAGCCAGAGCCCCGAAGACGGGGACTTCCTCACGAACCAGGGCTCTGGCGCACCCCTGGCAGCTGCGACCGCGGGCCGAGTCGGTCCCCACTCTTCGTTCTCTCCGCCTGGGATCTGCAGCCCTGGTCTGCCGCGTCCTGGCCCCCCAGGCCCCGAAAAGAGCAGCGCGACGGCCCCGTCCGCGTGCTGCTTGCTGCCGCCGCAGCGCCAGGCCCTCCGTGCCCAGTGCGGGGCACGGGGCACGCACAGCTCGGAGGACGGCGCGCGTGGCTCTGGCGCCCGTCGCCCCTGCCGATCCTCGCGTTCCTCCCGCCCCGCGGGCTCGGAGGCGTGCCCGCCGAGCGGCTCTCTCGCCCCCAGGAACAAAGCGAGCCAACGGCAGGGCCCTCCACCTGCGGAAGCCCCAGAGCAGCCTCCTCGGCTCGGAGCGCTCCGCGAACGGCTGCGCAAAGCGGGAGCTCGCCGGCAGCTCGGCGCCCGCAGCCGCGGCAGCGAGCTGCGTGCGTGTGCCGGCGGCTGCGCTTGGTCGCGCCGACGCCTCTTGTGGCGCACAGGCCCTCCAGAGACCCCGGCACCGCCCGCGAGCAACTGCGACAAGCAGGACAGGAGAACGGGGAGAGGAGCAACCGTGCGTCATGTTCGGCGGTGGGCCTCAGGAGGACAACAAAAAGGCAAAGGCGATCGCTGTCGCTGATCTGTTCAACATCTTGCGATTGCCCCTTCCAGATCGTGTGCAGTGCACCCCATGCTGGTCCAGGGGGCATTGTCCTCGCGCCCTCATCATCCTGTCTCCTCCGCGTGCTCCTACCCCCTCCCCCTCCTCCCGCCTCCTCCTCCTCACGTCCCGCGCAGAGGCTTTGCGGGTTTCTGCCTCATGGTTCTCGCCTGCGCGCCTCGGGGTACAGCCCTTGCGATGCACTCTCTTCCTCCTCGTCGTCGTCCTCCTCCTCCCTGCTCCCTGCTCCAGGCTCCTCCTCCTCCTACCTCCTCCCTCCTCCCTCCTCCCTCCTCCTCCTCCCGTCCTCCTCTCCTTCTCCTCCTCCTCCTCCTCCTCCTCCTCCTCCTCCTCCTCCTCCTCCTCCTCCTCCTCCTCCTCCCCCGTCCCCCCCACCTCCCCCCTTGGTGCGCCCGCTACTTGTTCTCCAAGGCCACGAGCGACGGCCAGGTGCGAGCCCGCAAACAGGCGGGGCGGGCGCGGAGGCCCCGTCCCCCGCCGCAGATGGCGGAGGCAGGGCGC